TTGCAGTAGGCTGCTGTGCAATTCCAGTGATGAATAGTATGTGTTTGCATTTGGAAAATACACAGAAAACGCTGCAAGTATAAAACATTACAGACAAAGAGATGGATCATTTTCTCTGATTGTTATATAGGCCATTTAAATGGTTGCTTTGCAGTTTCATAATTTGTTGCCACTTAAATAAGTTGAGGATTTTTTTCTTCAGCTCAGAAACTGCTTAGTGTAAAGAAGAGATGTTTTGTGTGTTTAGCAAAGCATCCATTAAAGCTTGAGAAGTTGAAGATCCTCATGGGGTGACTTAATTTCCAAGAAACACCCACAAAAGCAATTACATTCTTAATGAATAATTTATTTGGGGTGCTTTAGGTCAGATTCTTGTAGTTTCTCACTTTATGCATTTCAGCTAAGTAATTGGTTTGGTCCATACAGATAGGTTTTTAAAATCTCACCTACTGAACTCACTCACCTTAACTATATATATCGTGCTTAATGGTGTGATGTAGAGGAGGTCAGACAGAAAGATCAGCTGATAGGAGTTGCCAGCTGTGAACTTTTGAACAGTCCGTACTCAGCAAGCAAAATAGGTGGTGCTAGAACAGATATAAAAAGGAATGGAAATTGATTTAATTTTTCACAAACTGATGTTTATTCATGACTGAGAGATTATGTAGGTACCATTAATATTATCTGGAATGCATATGTGTTATTAAAGATTCTCTGTAGATAATGGTTTGAAATAATAAATAGAGCAAAAACGTAATACATGTGAATTGCAGTGATTCCTTTAGAGAAGCTCAAACCACAAGTAGCATGCACAATGAAGCTCAACTCCTTTCAGAATCTGTTCAGACAAGTACAAAGATTTACAAATCCAGGACTTTAGGTGGTGTTTAAATAGCCCTGTTGGCCCCAAACCAATTATCTGATGCTATCAGCAGATCAGGAGATGGAAACAATAAGGGGACAACTCAGATATAGCTTAATGTGTTTTCCTCTCGTTTCAAGTTTTTTATCCCTTTTAAGTTAGCTTATAGCACTTATTCCTGTAAGACTTTAGATTTTCCCTTTTCTTCCCAAAATTCTCTTCATCCCTGCTTAATTTCCTACAAAAAAATAGCTGCCTTGTTTAAAGAGAACGGT